GCCAGCCCAAGGCGGTCTTCTCATGGGAGGTGGACCGGGCGGCGATCCAGGTGATTGACTACCACATCCCCGACGTCCGGCACCGCGGCGACATCACGGAGGACACGCCGAAGGCCCTGGCCAAGGACATCGATGCGATCGACCCCGACGCCCAGTGCATCATCCTATTCCTCGCCGCGCCGCCGTGCCAAGATTTCTCCAGGATCGGCGACAGAGCGGGCCACGGCGGTGATAGAGGATACCTCTTCAACTTTACGGCCGAGTACGTCGCCGAGCTGACGCCGCTGATTGCACCTCGACGTGGAAAATTGGTCGAAAACGTCGAGATGACGCAGGCAGACGCAGCGGCGGCCACCAAAGCACTGGAGTGCGAACCCATCCTCACCGACGCTGCCGACTTCGGGTGGATTGGAAGGTCCCGCCTCTGGTGGTCGACGATCGACTGGGAGGATCTGCCTCGCGACCCCTCGACGGGAGAGCACTGGACATGGGCTCTACACCGTCGCTGGAACCGACTGCGGCTGGACTCTCCCAGGGCAGCATCCGACGACTTCGACCTCGACGGCCTCAAGTTCTCGGACTCCGTCGCCAGTGGCAGGGTCAGGCTACCATGTGCGACGACACCAGCAGCCGACGAGGGAGGCAGAGCGGCACCAAGGTCGACGAGAGGGAAGATCACGTCGGACACCCAACAGAGGTGGCTCACCGGCGGACGGCAATTTGCGCCGTGGCACTACGCCAGAGATGCCATGATGACCGACGACCAAGGTCGACTACACCTACTGCCGCCGAAGGTGAAAGAGCAGCTTCACCACATGCCGGCCGATTACACGGCGAGATCCACCGCCGGAGCACTCGACGACCGCACTCGACATCGCCTCATCGGCAACGGCTGGCACTGGGGAGTCGCACGACGTCTTCTATTGGCGCTGTTGGTCTTCACGGCAACGGCACCAACGACGGCGACGCCAGTGCCAAGATCCCCTCGCCGATCGACGTTACAGTGGGTGGCGTCGTTGTGGGGACCCGGCGGTCCGATCATGGCCCCAGCCCCGCCGCGGCCTGGCGTGGCAGACATCCAGGACCTCGACGAGCAGGCGCACTGGACCGCATCATGGTCGATGTCACACCCACTGGCGGACGACGCCCCACTGGAGCCGGCGTGGGAACGACTCCTGGTCATACGTCGAACTTGGCGCCACGACCTGGTCAGGATCCGACGGGAAGTTGTCGACGAGGTCCGCACCATGATCGAGGACACAGCCGACGAGACCAGGGAGTGGCTCGCCGCCAGATCATCATGGGTCAGAGCCACGTACTCGACGCCGGACAAGCCGGCCCCGACGCAAGTGCTTGTTTTCATACAGCTGCTCCGCCTCGTCGACTACCCCGACATCGACGCCCTCGAGCACGACATGACGGAGGGCTTTCAGATGATCGGCGACATCCGACCAGGACCAGGATGGAGGAAAAGAGACGACGGACGCTACCGGCACCCGACGGACATGGACACCTTCCGCCGGACCAACGCCGAGTACGTCCGCCGCAAGGTTTCCCAGCACGACGGCGGTGAATTCGCCGATCAGCTGCTCCAGGAGCTCATCGCCGAGAAGAGGTTGGGCAGAGTCATCGGCCCAACGACAGCGCCGACATGGCTCCACACCAAGGCCACGGCGGTGCCCGACCAGATCGAGGTGGACACCCTGGTCGAACCGCCGCCCGGCGAGCACTTCTTGGCAGGATCTTTTCCAGTGTGCCAGACCGACGAGAAAGGCGACCTCAAAGTACGACGTGCCGAGGATTGGCGGCGCAGCGGGCATAACGCCACGGTGTCGGTGGACGACGTGCCGACGCACCACTTCATCGGCAGCTTCGTCGACCTGGCGCGACGCATGGTCCAGGACACCCCCGACGTCGTGGTGTTTGGCAACGACCTGCTCAACGCTTACCGCCAGTGGCCGGTTCGACGACCGGCGGAGTGCGGCACCTTTCTCTCGACGAGGCACGGCGTGACCTTTTGGTACCACCTGGCCATGAATTTCGGCGCTACGGCGTCAGTCTGGAATTTCAACAGGGGAGCCGACGCACTTCAGCAACTACTCAGGGGCTATACTGCTCCTGACGACGGGTCACTACGTGGACGACTTTAACGGCCTCGACGACGCCCTCCTCGGCGAGTCGGCGATGGTCTCGTTCCAGGACCTCTTCGCGGCGCTGGGCTTCCTCACCAAGGCGTCGAAGGCTCAGCACCCGGCGAAGAGTCACATCGTGCAGGGCGTGGAGTTCCAGGTCGACGCACGAGGAGTCACCCTCAAACCGACGGCGGTCAGGGTAGAGAAGATTATGGAACAGATCCGCCGGGCACTCGACCAGGATACCCTGTCACCCGCCGAGGCTGCCAAGCTCGCCGGGAGAGTGTCATTCTTGACACAAGCGGCATTCGGATCCGTCGCAAGGGCAGCGACGAAGGCAGTCTACGCCCGAGCTGCCGACACAGCGGCATGGACGGCGGACTCCCTGTCCGACGGTCTCACGGCGGCCCTACGTTCCTTGGCCAGGATCTTGCCGACGATACGCCCCAGATTCATTCCGTTCGACGCCAAGGAGATGGAGGTCGCGATCCTGTACGCCGACGCCTTCTTCACCGACGGGGAGACCAGGCATAAGGCTGGCCACGTACCCCAGGGAGTACGGCCGACGAAGAAGGCGGCGAATGGCTGGGGATATGTGCTACGAATCGGCGACCAGGTCTTCTTCGACCACGGCGTAGCGCCGGAATGGTTCGTCAAGCTCTTCTCGACGAGGAAGGCCTACATATACATGCTCGAAGTGCTGGCCCAGCTCGTCGCCTTTGTGACCTTCGGCGCCAGACTGCCGCCGGCCATCGTCGCATTCATCGACAATACCGCCGGACAGGCAGCACTTACAAAGGGTTACGGGAAAGACGCCGCGGTGAACGGCATGATCTCGGCCTTCTGGACGCTTGCGGCGCACCAAGGGTGGTTCGTCGAGTTCGAGCGAGTCCCCTCCAAGGCCAACGTCGCCGACGCCGTCTCCAGAGACGACTTCAGCAGGGCGACGGCCGAGGGATGGCACAGGGTCTCCACGCCAACCGACGAGATCCTCTCCATCTTCGCCCGGTCGGCGCAGGACCTCGAGTACGCCACGACGGAGGCGGCGGACCACCTCCTGGAGCTGGCCAACGGCTTCCACGTCTGAGCCGGCGCGGGGTGGAGAGTCGGTGCGCACGGCGGGTGCAGAATGCGCCCCGGCACCGACTCGTCGTTTCAGCCTGTTGCTTCGCCGAACGGCGTGCTACAGCGCTGCTACCACACGACGAAAAAGAAGAGCTGCATTCGTCGTAGTGCTCAGTTTTGGTTCAACGTCGGGCAGAGTGCGACGGTTGTTGTGAAACACACGTGTGTGTGCAGTAACAACCGTGAACGACGGCCGTCGCTAGCACTCTGGCTCGACGAGTTGAAAGAATTTTACCCACCCTCACCGCCCTTTTTATTCGCACCTACACGTTTCGGCGGAAGGCGAACGACAGCGGGCCGGGTGCAGAATGCGCCCCGGCACCGACTCGTCGTTTCAGCCTGTTGCTTCGCCGAACGGCGTGCTACAGCGCTGCTACCACACGACGAAAAAGAAGAGCTGCATTCGTCGTAGTGCTCAGTTTTGGTTCAACGTCGGGCAGAGTGCGACGGTTGTTAATCAATATTTTCAGTAAGTCGCAGGTCCCGGCTAGCCACGGCAAGCTGTTATTCTGCCTTGCTGTGCGCAAGTCTTGTTCCTGCGTGCTGTCGTCAATAGCTAGTTCTGTGGTGCAAGCCTTCTTCATCAACTTCGCGCGGTTCCGTCAACCAAGATTCTCTCAACCCCGCTTCCTTCAACCATGTTCCCCGCTTCCCTCAACTCAGATTGTGCGTTTCTTTCAACCCCCATCGCCCGCTTCCCTCAACCCGGATATTGCCGATTCTGTCAACCCCCATCGCCCGATTCCGTCAACGCATACTGTGCTGATTCCGTCAACTCCGCCCCCCCGTTTGCGTGCTGGGGGTTGAGTGAATCTGCGTGCTGGGGTTGAAAGAATCAGGTTGTGTATGGGTTGAACGAAGCGGTTCTTTGGGTTGAAGGAATCATTTCCTTGGACATGGTTGAATGAATCTGCGTTCTGAGGTTGAAAGAAGCAGGTTTTGAGGTTCAAGGCATCAGCGCTTCCGGGTTGACAGAATCCGCGGTCAGTGGTTGACGGAATAATCGGCGAAAAGTTGAAGGAATCCGCGCGCGACCCTAGTTCTGTGTCGGTTGTACTACATGCCTCTGCTAGCCAAGACACTCTTCGATCTCCTGCTACCTCTTCAGCAGGTCTTCTTGATGAAGCCGCTGCAAGCATCCCTGTCATTCCCAGTGCATTCCCAGTGCCTAACAATGGGCTGGTGAAGCCCATTAAGTTCGATTTCGAGGCTGCTTGTTAGCTGCAATCCACAAAGCAGCTTATCATCTCAATCCCACAAAGTAGCTTAGCATCTAAACAAGCAGGCACGATGCTTGCAGCTGATTACATCGAGAGATGCACTCACATCCATCCTCTGCACAGCGGCGGACGTTCGCTTCGTGCATGCTTAGGTTCTCGACTGAACACATCGAGCTCTTACTTGTGGCGCTTGCAGCCATGACCCAAACTAATGCTGTTGCAGCAGTGGTTCAGTGTTTCTTGATCGCCGCGCCTGTCGGACCCAAAAGTTTCAGAGTAAAGCGCAGACTGATTATCGAAGCCTGGCACTGCCTACGTTGGTTATGGCCGTTTGCTTGTTGATTGCACTGTAGGCTTGCGGTGTCTTGCGGTTCGGCTTACCGCAATGTCTCCGAGTGGCATGCTTTCTCAGTCTCCTGTCCTTCTGTTGCTGCAGTGTCATGTAGGGAATCTTGCCATCCGCTTCGAACTTCGTTGCAGCAAAAGTGCTGGGAGTCGTGGGCCGCAGTGTCTAAGTTGGGAGGAGAGTCTGCTGCCGCAAGATCCAAACCAACACTTCACCTGCCACCAGACTTCAGGGTACAGGCCTTAGCAGCCTTAGCAGTGGTCCCTGTCATGCCAGAGCGGCTGAAGCTTCGGGGGCCAAGGCGAGTGCTTCCGGGTGAGGATGCTCGGATCTCGGCCTTTTAAGCCCGATGGGCTGGGGCTGGGGTCGGGGTGCCAGCTGACGCGAGTGGTCGCTTACCTGTCTTGGGGACGCGAAACCCATGCTGCACTATTGTGAGTTTGACATATCGCTAAGCTGTCAAAACCATGTTTACCTTCCACGTGTGTCTCTGTGTGGGCGCGCGTTTGTTGTGTTTGAGTCTGAGTGTCCAGGACCATTGGCCAGACTCAGATTCCATACTAGAGGACTAGAGGATCGTTCCAGAAGCAGTGACTGCCGTGCATGCTCCGTATTGCCTTCAGAGCGGCGCGGGTTGTCGGACGAAGGTGCAGACCATGTTCTCGTTCACCTCCCCTGCTCCGGGCACCTTTCAGAGCTCTTGGTCTGGGGCCCAGAGACATGGATGGCTACTAGTGCTAGTGGTGTAGATCTTCCAGCAGCCTCAGCTGTGAAACATGGATGCGACCGTGTCAGACTTGCATTCTGCATTTCGGAAAGGAGCAAGTCCGCCTTCGCTGTCCAACGTACTTGTGGAGACTGATGTGTCAGGCGGCTCCAAACCTACCCACAGCTTTTCGCATGGAACCTAGCAGACTCGATTTGGCAGCATGCAGTAAATGCAGTGCAAGCAGCTTTTGTTCCGGCAGATGCTCAAGCGTCATATTCCCCTTCTAGCACCCAGGAGCCCATTGCAGAATTGGCGATGAACGGTTCAGCGACAATCGGAGCTATCAACTCAGACAACTGGGCGTCAGGAGGAGAAGGAGAATCACCCTTGAAGCGGCCGAGCTGTGTAGCTGTACAGAAACCTTTGCCGGCGAAGGTAGAAATGAGGGCGGTTGCACAGATGTCTTTCACTTGTAAGCTGAGGACGTGCACTGGGAGCGGAGAGAGGCTCTGCAAGCGCACATGGTCAAGGAGCAGGCCCGGTGCATGTTCATGTGTGTGGATAGGGGAAGTCCAAAACTGAAACGGTGCTCACTCACTCTCTCTCTCACTCTCTCTCTCTCCTCTCTCCTCTCTCCTCTCTCCTCTCTCTCTCTCTCTCTCTAACTCCTCCCTCCCTCGCTTCCTCCCTGCCTGTCTCTGCGATGCCAAGCATGACAACCATAAATCGAGCAGGAGCCTGTGCGAGCCAATCACGATGCCGATAATGCCGTCATCCTGGCATGCTCCACGAGTAAATCGTCAAGTAAGTGAAGGAAACACCGACTGACTGATTGAATGCATGAATGAACGAATGAACGAATGAATGAATGAAAGAAAGAAAGAACGAATGAAATAATGAATGAATGAATGAATGAATGAATGAATGAAAGAATGAAATAATGAAAGAATGAAAGAAAGAAAGAAAGAATGAATGAATGATGGTATTAATGAAGAAATGCGCGTGTGAGTGAACGAGTGTCTGCGCGAATGGGTGTCAGAGTCACGAATGTCTGCATGATTCTGCATGCAAGACGTATCAATGCCCGAAAACGTCTTGGTACGTGTGTCTGACACCTGTCAGACCATCAGCCTGGCTTCAGAGCTTGCCGAAGACATCGTTGCATCTGCGGTCACTGACGTTTGGAACCCAGAGCCCAAGATGTTCACGGCGACATGCAGCAATGTGGAGACGATCTGGCAGGGCTGGAAGCTTCTTCCGCCGCCGCTGCCGGATCTCAGCCAGCCCTCAGTGCAGGCACGAAGCTGCCGTCGCGGGCCGATGCACATGCCTGCGTCGCCGCTGTGGTTCAGGAGAGGCTCTTTGAAGAAGTGAATGGCGCAGATGGCTTGTTCTGGTCGCTAGGGTCTCAGTCACATCATTTCCATGTCGACGTGGAGCACGGACGCGGATGTCATATGCGCTTCGCGAGACACAATGCCTGGACGATCTTCTCCGAGCTGCGAGAAAAGGCAGGACCTGTTGGCAAGATACACTACAGGAAGCAGTTTTCCCGAAAGCTTCGCGAAGGGTTCTTCCGTGTGGAACGCCGCAGTTGAGTACATAGATGACAGACATAGAATCAACTTACTTGACTCCATACTTTACTCTACACTTGATACTTGACTCTACACTTGATACTTACTTACTTACTTGTGACTTACTCTGTGACTTACTCTGTGACTTACTCTGTGACTTACTCTTGACTTACTCTGTGACTTACTCTGTGACTTACTCTCTGACTTACTTACTCTCTGACTTACTTACTCTCTGACTTACTCTCTGACTTACTCTGTACCTCTCTACATACTCTCTACATCTCGTGACTTACTCTTGACTTATTGACTTACTCTGTGATTTACTCTGTGACTTACTCTCTGACTTACTCTCTGACTTACTCTCTGACTTACTCTCTACCTCTCTACATACTCTCTACATCTCGGTATTTAAATCTCTCTTCTAAAGCCAGGGGTGGCACCGTCGTCGTCCATCGGGAATGCAACCCTTCCCAAGGATTCGCCTCCTCGAGCGCCCAAACGCTAGGTAAAGTTACACATTTTAGGCGCCCGGCGCAACCCTTCCCAGGGATTCGCCTCCTCGAGCGCCCAAACGCTAGGTAAAGTTACACATTTTAGGCGCCCGGCGCAACCCTTCCCAGGGATTCGCCTCCTCGAGCGCCCAAACGCTAGGTAAAGTTACACATTTTAGGGTTCCCGCGCAACCCTTCCCAGGGATTGGAACTCTCGAGCGCCCAAACGCTAGGTGAAGTTACACATTTTAGGCGCGCCGCGCAACCCTTCACAGGGATTCGCCTCCTCGGGCGTTCAAACGCGAGGTAAAGTTACAAATTTTTCGGGCGCCGTGAACCCTTCACAGGGATTCGCTTCCTCGGGTGTTCAAACGCGAAGTAAAGTTACACATTTTGCGGGCGCCGCGCAACCCTTCACAGGGTTTGGGCGCAGCTCAACTGCATTTTGCAACCCTTCACAGGGTTGGCATTTTGCAACCCTTCACAGGGATTGGCATGGTCGAATGCACGAACGCTAGGTAAAGTTGCATTTTTTGATGTGCATTGAAATGAATTTTGCAACCCTTCACAGGGATTGGCGTGGTCGAGTGTTCGAACGCGAGGTAAAGTTGCAATTTTTTATGTGCATTGAGATGAATTTTGCAACCCTTCACAGGGATTGGCGTGGTCGAGTGTTCGAACGCGAGGCAAAGTTGCATTTTTTGATGTGCATTGAGATGAATTTTGCAACCCTTCACAGGGATTGGCGTGGTCGAGTGTTCGAACGCGAGGTAAAGTTGCAATTTTTGATGTGCATTGACATGAATTTTGCAACCCTTCACACAGATTGGCGTTGTCGAGTGTTCGAACGCGAGGTAAAGTTATTACTTCTGATGTGCATTGAGGTGAAACTTGCAACCCTTCACAGAAATTGGCGTTGTCGAGTGTTCGAACTAGTACTAGTACTACTACTACCACTACCACTACTACAACTATTATTACTACTACTACTGCTACTACTACCACTACTACAAAAGAATACTACTACTACTACTACTGCTACTACTACTACTACTACTACCACTACTACTACCACTACTACTGCTACTGCTACTGCTACTACTACTACTACTACTACTAGTACCACAACAACAACTACAACTACAACAACTACAACTACTACTACTACTACGACCACGACTGCGACTACGCGACGACGACTACTACTACAACTACTACGACTACCACTACTATCACTACTACTAGTACTGGTACTGCTAGTACTACTACTGCTACTGCTACTACTACTACTACTACTGCTGCGACATAAAGTGACCATGCATAGAGTCATAAGGTCACGTTGAAACCACAGTAATCAGGGATGTCTATATAGTGAGGTTCCGGAGCTAGGAAAGGAAGACTTCTGCGTCATGTTGGACTATACTCTAAACCCGCTAAACCTGAACATTAGTGTTCATAGAGTGAACTACATCAAGTCAAGTGCGTGGTACATAGATGACTCCATGACTCTATGACTCTTTCTCACTCTGACGCTATGACTCTATAACACTATGACTCTATGATTCTGTCTCACTGTGACTCTATGACTCTATATGACTCTATGACTCTTTGAACTATGACTTGTGCTTGACATGTACTCGACTCTATTTCTCGATGACTCTATGAACTATGACTTGTACGACTCTTGACTGTATGTGACACTCCGACTCTGTGACTCCGTGCTTTTGACTCGGTGACTCTATGACCCTATACACTGGATTCTATGACGTAGCGTAACACTCTTCGCTGATGATGCTTTCGGGCCAATTGTCTTCTAGTTTTGCATGCTTTCCCAATTTGCCTGCAAAAGCATTGTCATGCGATGATTACGCGCAGGTCGAGCGAGCTTCACCTTCTGACATCCCGGCCGACAGAGGCAAAGTCTGAGACTATTAAAGCCTGCCAGGTGTCTTGGGGAAGTTGCAAAGTTTCGTTGCACCATCGATGGAGGTCCGGCCGAAGTCAGCTTCGAGCCTCCACCTGGGGCACGCGGGCACCGGCCGGTGCCGAAGGCCAGGGTACCGTGAGGGATTGTCAGGGGCCTCGCGACGAGTGAGGGGTTCAGGTCGAGGCTCCGCCACCAGAGGCTTTGACGCCGGTGGAGCGGCTGGAGGTCCCCTCCCTCAGAAGGAGCCCTTTCACTTTACCGGGAACGGCGAGAAATTCCCAAGAGACCTCGTTTGCAGTGTCCGCAGGATGCAGGCCCAGCTTGACAGGCTGCCCAATCCGGAACCCGATGCAGCATCCTCAGCTAGTCATGATGGTCACCACCTCTCGCAGACTTCGGCTTCAGGAGTATGGCCAGGCCGCGTGCCGAGTCTCCGTACCATTTTGCGTCCCACGGCGTTGCAGGGGTTGCTGCAGGTCCCCAGGACGGCAAAGACTGAGCTTCAGTTCGAGCTCGATCGAGCCGCCCGCTGGGCGAGGCGATCAAACGAATGCGGCATGGGTCCAAAACGCAGCGACACAGCCGAACTGACACAGGTGTCGCCCTCTAGAGCGCTCGCCGCTTTGGTGGCTTGCTTACGAGTGCTAGCCTTGGAATGGAAGGGATGCACAGACAGAGCGGCACCGAATGAGCGGTTTCTGCCAGGACCATCCTGGAAATCGCTTCCGTCCTCCCGGACAAATGGGCAGCAACGCGTCAGCGAAATGGGCACAGGACTCAGTTCTGGATCTTGCTGCTGCCAGCACGCGCCAGCCACTTCGATGCTGCATGCCAGTGTTCATCGCTCCGAAAGCTTCAGCTTCCCCGTGCCACCGAGTCCACATCTTGCCCTGTTCATCTGATAAGGCTCACCTTGATTTCGCCGAAACTTACACACTCCCAGACTGCAGGCGTTCGCATGAGCAGGGCGAGCACCAACAGAATCAACCACCAACTACTAGCACCTCCATTCCGATTAAGTAGACCTACTACAATAGCAGTGCGTATTGAACAGCAGCGACGGTTATCGACTATTAAGTGCCTTTCTCTTGTTCGGCAAGCACAAATTATCAGACTAGTTGTGCTGCAACAGGTCGTCGTCGTCGTAGCAGTAGCAGCAACATCAGTAGCAGTGCGAGTGGAAGTGGAAGTGGGTGTGGAAGCAGCAGCAGCGGCAGCAGCGGCAGCAGCGGCAGCAGAGGCAGCAGGAGAAGCAGTAGTAGTAGTAGTAGTAGTAGTAGTAGTAGTAGTAGTAGTAGTTGTCGTTGTAGTAGTAGCAGTAGTAGTAGTAGCAGCAGTAGTAGCAGTAGCAGTAGCAGTAGCAGTAGCAGTAGCAGTAGCAGTAGCAGTAGCAGTAGTAGTAGTAGTAGTAGTAGTAGTAGTAGTAGTAGTAGTAGTAGTAGTACTAGCAGCTGCAGCAGTAATAGCAGCAGAAGTAGCAAAAAACCGAAAAAGTAGTAGTAGCAGCTGAGCAGGAGTAGTAGTAGTAGCAGTAGTAGCAGTAGCAGTAGCAGTAGCAGTAGCAGAAATAATAGTAGTAGCCGCAACTAATAGTAGCAGCAACAGCAGCCGCCGCCGCAGCAACAGCAGGAGCAGCTGCTGTGGTAGGAGCTACATCGCATGTAACCGTAGCGAGATGTAACATTTGCACGTATGCATAAAGGCTTGCACTTGTCTGAGCCAGTTTGACTACAGTGTGCCTGGTGGAATCAGCCGGTCTATTTTGCGCCCTAGTGTAATGCCAGTCGTGCACAACGGATTAGCAGGCTGGAGCCTCTGCCGTTTCTGACACCGCCTGACGTGAACGGCTCAGACATGCTCAACAGTTGAAAGTGGACATGATTCGCGGTGAACTGATGATTGAAACACACGCCTCCAGGATGATGCTGCTCCAGATGAAGTTGAGGAGTACAATCAGAAACTCGAGGAGCCGGCTGTATTCGTACTGTGCATCACAACAATTTTGTCTCCGTGCCTCCCCTCTGCATGACTGTCACACTTCCTCTTGACAAGCAGCAGGACCGAAAGGCCAAACTGGCACCAGAAGAGAAGGAGGTGGATTTTGGGTCTTCGGGTAGCTTCTGATGCAAGTTGTTTTGGTTGGCAGGCTGAAGTTCGCGAAATCTTCTGCCGCGGGTTCATGAAGAACAAGTGGCTTTCTTGCACTGCGGGGAAGTGATCCATCCGGAGTCCAGATCACAAGCCTAAGCTGCAAAGGTTTGGACCTGCCTGCTCGCGATTTGAGGCTACATGAGCACGGAGCTGTGAAAGTATGTCACGCAGTGAGAGTGTGATCTGCAGCAGGTAGTCGCGAAGGAGGCAACTGTAACGGCTCGTATCTCGCACGCTGGTGGCCTGACGTTGGCAGACAGACTGCGGCCGGCACCTGACGGATGGGTGGCCGGTGGCCTCGTGCGAGCACCGGCTGTTTCGATCTGCCCCGAGGCCATACCTGGGTCAAGCCGCTGCAGAGGCATGGGGCTCGCTGTCACTTTCCAGTACGTAGTGTCTTCAACTGCGCAACGGAAGTAGCGCATTTTCCAACGGGCATGGGAGTGGGTCAAAGCTGAGTAGCGGGTGCCATCGATGCAAACAGATTTCAGAAGCAGCCGCACTAGCACCTTCAGTCCGAGCAGCCTATTCCAGTGTCGTAGAGCAAACTGTGGGTTAGGGAAGCTCCTTCTTAGCTGCCATGAAGGCACCTGAGGGAGACGAGCTCGAGGAAGGAGAGGAGGCTCAAGTCGAAACCCAGGTCGGCCGAGCCAGTGCACTGTAGAATATGCTAGTTTATTTTAAACGCTTCGCGTCGCGCACCTCGGCCGGGCTGCACACGTATGTGCCGAATTGGTTGGAGGTGTTTGTCAAAGGTAAGCATCCGGAGCTTGCATCGCTACCCCGTGAAAAGTTGCCTTGCTGAAGAGAATTCTTGAGCCGAGATCTTGCAGGCGCCGAAACCCAGCAGTCTGAGCGATCTCAGCGTACAGGGGATTGCTTCTTCGCATGTCCTCTGCAGAAAAGCGCGGTACTTGTAACTTTCAGTATGTTTGGCCTAGACTCTAACCCCTAACCTGAATTTCTCGTGAGTAAACCCTCAAACCTGAAACCTGGAGAGCCCCAAAAGCTCGCAAACGTAGGGGCTTGGGAAAGCGAGGCGAGGCGGCACTGGAGGGGGGGTGGGTCGGACTGGCCTACAGAGAGTCCAATCCATCGGAGCAGGCCAGATTTCGCGCGGGACCCGTACCGGATTCTGAGGTGGGGGAGGGGTCTACTTGGTGGGGAATACACGTAGAGGGAATCCGTACAGGTACCTCTGACGGCTTCGGCCGGGGCCGAGGCGAATTTAAGTTAATCTGTTTTGTTTACTGTAGACATCTGTAGACTCTAGACGACTGTAGGAGCATCGGTCTTCCACACACTAGGACTTTGGAGATGGACTTCTCGTGACAATGGCTGCCAGCCTCTAAGTTAAAGCAGCCGCTTCCCGCTGGAGACATGCGGAATCAATCAAACGCAATCTTTCATGACTTCGCAGTGGCATCACCAAGGCCATCGAAACCGAATTGTCTGATTTCGTGGAGACCATGCTACCTGCTCAGACCAGCTCTGTCAGCTTGGTCTTCAGCACCCTAACGACACAGAGGCAATTGCCGATTCGAGCGTCAGCTGCTGAGGAGGACGCGGGACCTTGATTGGCGAAGCTTGTTTGGATGTTCGCAACCTTTGTCGAGTCGCCAGGAAGCGGCAAGAGCAGAGCTGGAAGAGCTCGGAAAGCCAGCCGTGGACGAGGATGGCAAAGCTCCGGCCCCAACGTTCTGCGCAAACAGTATCGTGCTGAGCACAGCAGCATTTTCAAGCATTTTCAAGGAAACCATCCCAGCTCCACTACTCATAGTTCTTGGCGGCGGCTCCAACGCAGAGAATCAAGAGGATCCTCGCGTGCTCAGCGCATTGGAGTTTGGAGCGGGCCAAGCTCAAACTGTTCTGAGCGTGTCTTGATCCACTGTGCAGGAGGTCCTCCTGAAAAAGCTGGAGCTGCTTATAGGGCTCTCACGCTTCGCGGAGCATGAGAAGGACGGTGCAAAGGACGTTGATCAGCAACTGCTGATGTGATGTCTGGGAAGGGTGGCGTGCACGTCTACATTGGGGGCGCGCTCGCGAGCTACGTGTTGTCAGGCAGAGCAAGAAGTATGGAAGTGCCTATGGTTTCTGCCGGGTGCAATGCAGTGTTGCAGTCAATTCTGAAAGGTGTCCTCGGCATGTCGATGGGCCCCAGCTCCCTTAATGATGGTGCGATCAAAGCGTCGCTCAAGGAGGCACTGGCGTGGCACTGCCTCTCGCCGAGAAGTGCATGCCGCCTGCACGCAATGCAGGCTCTTCTGGAAGTGATGAGGCCTTTGTTGTCGCCAGCTGTCATCCTGTGAAATGTCACTGTCGTCATGCCCCTGCCAGGTTGGGCATTTCGCCCGGCCCTGAGCACGTCGTTACAGAGCTCGCCGCAGCTCGCGCCTCCTCAGGTGCCTTTTCTTCCGGCACATTGAAATATTTGTTGTTTGGCGACGGGTTGTTTTGCTGCGGCGGTTGCACGAGGTTTGACCGTATTCTCCCGCAATCGTTCGTACTTCGTAGAATTCGTGTCTGATCACTGATGCGTGGCTGTGCCCTGTGTATTCGGTTGCTGCACTCCCCCATGTCGCAAGCATTGGAACTTGCAGAACTACCATACGTGATCATGTCACGCCAAGGATTTCGTTGCCCCTTGATCTTGTGTGCGAGGAGGTCGCCCACGAGGCACCTTGAGATGGTACAGTTTGCAGGGCTGGGTGGCAGGTTGATGTCTTGTCACATCTGAGGCCAAAGATGGAGAGGAGCCCGGTGATCCTCAGGACCCCCTTGAATTTACGCGGCTCCGGCGACTGCAGCAGTGTACAGATGTGCACTGCTCGCCAAGGATGCAGGCACTGGACACGCAGCATCGCTTGCGGTCCTCTTCTCATTTCTTGTGTTGGTCATTTGCGACTGCAAGTTTTGGCGCTTCTGTTCGTGTTGGCTTGAGTCAGGCTGCATGGCGACAAGTCGCCAGCACGCCGCTTTTCCTTGGATATTCTGATTGTCGCTGGCTCCCCAGTCGCTCTTTGCATGAGCAGTTTGCAAATGTTTTGCAGAACGGCAGGGCGATCTTAATCTTTGTCATCTGTTGTAGAGGCGAAAACGGAAGTGCTCTCCTGCAGCGTTGCTGGCACAGGGGCAGGGAAATGCCCACCCAACTTTTTGATGCCTGGCCTCCCGCGGCTTGAAACACCGGTGCGGGTACAGACCTCTGCACTGGCTGATGGCCAATATTCTCCGGGGGTGATTCCTCCGTTGGCACTTAGTCCTCGAACTTCTCTTGGCCCTCTGAGTCCCCTGGGCGACGGCAAGCGCCAACCCAAGCGGAGCTTGCTGCAGCAACGGAAGCAACGCCTTGGCAACTTGCAGCTGGACACATCCTGTAATGGTAACCTTTCAGCCTTGAATCAACATGATGGGCTGAAGGCGAGATACATTGTCCACGAGTCTCTGGGCCAAGGATCTATGGGCACCGTTTACCGTGGGACTCGAAGGTCCGACCAAAGAGAGGTTGCCTTGAAAGCCATGCAGGCGCTCGATGAAGAGATGACGGAACTGCTAAAGCAAGAATTTAAGATTCTGCGGAAGCTGTCCCATCCTCACGTAATCGAGGCTTTGGATTTCTTTGTTGCCGACGATCAGGCAGTGCTGGTCCTAGAGCTCTTTGAAGGTTTGCCGCTATCAACTGCTGCCAGATCGACGCCCTGCGCACTTCCAGAGTGTGTCGGGCAGCGTCTATTTAAGCAGCTGACTCTGGCCATTGATTACCTGCACCACCGCCAAATTATCCATCGAGACATCAAGGGAGAAAATGTACTGGTCAGCCAGAACTTGATGGATCTACGGCTTATTGATTTCAACAGTGCTAGGTGTCTGCTGGAAGGAGGCTCCCTGACTAATGCTGGCACGCAGGAATATGCATCGCCGGAAGTTTGCAGAGGTGAGCCGCATTCTGCGAGCAGTGATATCTGGTGCGCCGGTCTTTGCCTTTATGTCATGTTGGCAGGGCACCTTCCACGCAGGGGACACCAGTATAAGAGTTTCGAGGCCTTCAAACAAGCTGTTTCAACGGAAGCTGTGGTGTTGAAGGGCCGCATCGAGAGTTGCTCCGAAGTGTGCAAAGAAGTGATACGATTGTGTCTGTACGTGGACATGACAAAGAGACCTTCGGCTGAAGCCCTTCTGCAACATGAATGGCTACTTCCCCGAGGAGGCAAACGACACACAGTTCAATCCAGACTGCCCGTGGTCTTCAAGGGCGAGGCTTGGAACGAGGACCGGCCTGCTTCCCCAGTCTCGCGCACGAGACGGAGAATGACGAAGTAGTGCAGAGAGATATCAGATAAGAGTCAGCCCAATAGTCCATAGGAGTATTATGTCCTTCAGAGCTTTTCAAGTTCTTCTTTGATGCAAGTGTGTACTTGCATAGTGTCGCAGACCTGCTCCTGCTAGATAGAGCAGGTGTCTTTAAAAGAAGGTTCGTCTCCGTTTTGGGATCTCGCCCAGGGAAGCTGTTACGGATCTCCTTTTGCGTGTTTACTCGGCAGAGCTTGAGCAGACACGGATGTTAATCTCCGAAGTCAGGGAAAACTGTTTCACATTGATAGCTACCTCCCGGCATGAACTTCTAGTCTGTAACGGGAGCCATGTATCACATGCTGGCAGTGCCTTGCCAGGCCATTGCCAGTCTGTGATGGTTGCAGAATTACTGCATGTTCGCACGGGATTGAAGGCATCAAGCAAAGACGTCGAATTGAGCTCTACCTTACAGGGGCAGCATTGTAGAAGATGCAGGAGCTGCTGCCGTAATGTGATGTGAAGCCACAGACACGGAACCAAGGTGAGTGCTACATCTCAGTGGACACGCAGCACGGCACCCTTCATCTTCAAAAGTGCGAGTTGGTGCCTCAGGCTCCAATGCTCCAGGTTCAGCTTTGCGTTGCACTGCTTGGCCTGTGCGGGTGCCAGCTTCTCTGCGTGCTCCCCTGGGCAGGCCAGGACAGCCTCCACATGTTGAAGGGGTCGAAGGCACCGCTTACAATGCGGTATCTCACACACGGTATGGGTGTGTGTGTATATATATGTCTTTGATCCATATGTACATAGGCCTGCGCGGATGCATGCCTTATGTATGTTCGCGCGCTCCTCGCCCCCCCCTCCCCCCTCTCCATGGTCTATGGTCCAGGATGCCCACCCTCCTGTGAGATGGAGTGTTGCTTCCCTCTTCCCCCTGTCGGGTGGTTGTGGGGGTTTTGGGGTTTTGGGTCTAGCTTAAGCTGTTGAGTTTTGGGTTTAGGGTTTTGGGTTAAAAGGTGTAAGGCTTCGGGTCGACAAGGGCTTAAGGAGAGTTTGGGGTGTAGGTTCGTTAGGGTTGACAGTTTATGTTCTGGTTTAGGCTTAGAGCCTGTATTTAGGCGGGTTTTAGGGTTGGGTTTGGGGTTGGAAGTTTGGGTTAAGGTTAATAAATGCAGGAGCAGGCGCTCCTGCCATACGTTATAGGATTTATGGCTTGCGTAGAGCTTGCGTACGATGCTGGCCTTGTCTGTGACGCCTGGCCGGCCCTGCAGCTGCAGCTCCAACGGCCCCCACCCTTCTCCGCACACGCCAGCCCCCGCCCCCCCCCCCCAACATACCATTGGGGGGGCGGGGCTGGGAACGCCAGACGCCTGACCATGTATGGATATTGTATGGATGTATGTATGCATATATGCATGAAGCATATTCCAATCACGGGTTTGAGGAAAAGAGAGAAGACATGTTTTAAGGAATGCATTTATGCATGTATTAGGTAGGTGTGCATGTATGCATATTGCGATTGAGATGTATATAGGCATGGTATGTACAGCATGTAGTCATGCATGCATGCATGCATGAATGATCGTGAATGTATGTGTGTCTGTATGCGTGTAAGTAGGTATGCACATTGACTCATAGAGTTGTTACCCTTATTCCCTGTGCATGAATGTACGGGGGGACAGATAGGTATGTATGCATGCTTGTGTTTTTTTCTGTTTCTTTGCAAATAATGCTGTAAGTAGGTAAGGTTGCGTGTATGTTTATGCATGTGCATACATATACATGTACGTGCAAGCATGGTGACCGAGCACCTGTGAAAGTAAAGAGTTCAGACATAGATAATAAGATAAACCAGTAAGCTACGTATGCCTAGCACCTATGCATATAGAGATGCATGCATCTATGTGCACACATGTGCCATTTTCACAGTATGTAAGGGGCATCACAATACACATTGAACTTCCTTCATCAACTGCAAGACGACGTGAAATCGCATATTACGACACGAAAAGACCTGGAAAAGACGCAATACCAACGTGAGCCAATATCACAAGTGAGCCAGTGCAACTAGTCTGAGTCATTTTGTTACTCACCCTGCGTATAGCGAGCAGTGACCTACAGGCATGTAGGCCACGACTATGCCAGACACAACAAATCACACCCGCCACAGCTATAGCTGTATGCACAGAGAAGTATTGACCCAGATATGTATGTAGCTTTTTGCAGGATTGTCCATATGGGCAAAAAGTATGTATGTACAATAAGCAGTATATATGTATATCTATGTGTATATAACGTATATATATATATATATATATATATATACACACACATGCGAACTGTGTCATACGTCTGTGTGCAATTGTGCAGTACGACGCGGGTCATCATCACAATTACAAGCTGGCATAGCGCGGTATAGTACATGAGAACAGTAGGTACAGTAATATGCTAGAAGCAAAATCATGAATTTAGTAGGAGCGGAACATGGCGACCATGTCCGTGTGCGTATAAATATGAGTACATGAATAAACATGTGTAAATATACATATTTGTTGTATATGAGCCCACAAACAATGCGTCATTCAATAGCAGCGACCATAAACACACAAGCCGAATCAATGCAGAAGGGACTCCCAAGACATCAATGCGGCCCCAGTCGCAGTGAAGCCTTCGTGAATTGGTGACTATGGGCAAAATTATCGGACACTCACACGCACCCGCATGCACTGCTGGCACTGAAAAGACAATGAAGCAGGAAAGTGTGGCTCTTGTTCGAACCACTTGTCTATTAGAGGTTGCCGTTGAAACGCGACAGCAGAGTTATCCTTCAGACGCACATGACAACGTCATGTACAAGATCAAGGATGTGGTATTGCACAGTTGGTAGCATACAACTGATTTTGCAAATATGCACGGACATGACCTTGCGCACGTCCAAGCACTGTCAGGCTGTGTATGTGTATCTATACCTCGACATCGTCATCTATACGTACTTCTGCATCTGTTTGTTGATCTAGATCTTCTCTCTCTCTCTCCATATCGCTGGAGCCTACTTGGTTGCCTATCTTCTAAATGTCTATGTGTCTATCAGTCTATCTACCTGTCTACATATCTACCAATCTGTCCTCTGTCTGTCTATCTATCTGTCTGCTTATCTGTTTGTCTCTTTATCCGTCTGTCTATGCGTAAATCGATCTATCGATCTGTCAATCAAACTATCCAGCTATCCATCTGTCGATCTATTAATCTCCCTATCCATCTGCTTATCAGTCTGTCAGTCAGTCTGTGTATCCATTCATCTGGTACGAGATGCAACCAGTGCGGCCGCAAGAAGACAAATGACAAACTACGCGATGAGGGCATTCAGATGCCATCAGCTTTGTGCAGACCTCCCCGAAGAAGAAGCCGGAGATACCGAGGCCTCGTGACCTCTTGTCAAGCTTGGCTTTGCGTTTCCAATCCTGTTGCATAAGTGATCAGTGTTTTTGCCTTTGCACTGCCGGAGGCTGGCGAGGTTGCAGCAAACGCCAGTGGCATTCCTGAATTCTGGATGGTGCGGGACATCGGTCCTGCAGCGGTGGAACAGCTCAGGCTGGGGTAGAGGTGCAGCTTTGGCAGACAAGAGCCCCGATGGTGCCCAGGATGCTCCTGAGACGAAGCCGTGGTGCAATCTGGAATGGAGCCCTGGGCTGCCACGAGGCTCTGCGCCGTGCCGATTCGGTGGAAGACTCAATTCTTTACTGGCCAGGATGCGCGCTGGCAGAAGGGCACGCAAGAGCTCATCAACCTAGTCGAGGGACGCTTAACCGGCGCCGGCGAGGACCGAACTCGCATGTTCCACTTAAAGGTCATTTCAGCAATAAGATACTTGTTGAAGTATGTGAAGACCGGTTTTGCCATTTCAGGCTGAGGAGGAAGATGATGAAGACGAAGAAGACGAAGAGGAAGATGAGGAAGGCAAACCGCATAATTCTCCTGCATTGGCTTTTTTGATGACTGTGAGCTGACCGTTAGGTGACGAAGACGGCGATGAAGACGGAGAAGCAAAGCCAAGGCACGTGATATAAGTTGACCAGCTGTGTAAGATCCGTCTACACTGAGCTGCTCTAGAGGTGAGGAGACAGGTTGCCGTTAAGGCTAGACGAAGCCACTGCTTTCAAGACCGTGCTACTCCACGAGCACATGTTCGTTTAAACACCGTTCTGAGGAAAGAGCCGAAGCTACCGAAAGAACGCCCAGCGGAATTTGAGGTAGCTGCCGTCCTTGGCCTCTTGCTTGGCAGTCCATCCAATGCTGGAAAAAGCATGACAGTGGTCACACCTGCCAAGGTCGTGACAGTTCCCGGCTTCTCTCGGAGATGGCTGAAAATCCAGCACTTGTCTGCAGCTGAAAATTTGTTGCCATGTTGCACTTCCTCTACTGTGCAAAGGTGTTGCGCTGCACTGTTTTTCAAGACTTGCACATGTCAAGGTTTCGTTCGTCTCGAACACGGGTGAGGTCAGAGAACCACGTGTTCTGCAGCAACGCAGCCATGCAATGTTCTAGCCTGTAATCCATCATTGCATGGTGTAGAAGTCGAGTGGCTTCTGTGCGACTGACAACCCCTTTAGCGCCAGGGTTTTCTTCGCATCCTCCGTGGTGCACCTGTGCAGCGAGCCAAGCCTACCCACATGCTCCACACTTGGTTCACACTGGGACATGACCTTGCGGGGTCTTGATTGACTTGAGCGGATCCGTGAGCAGTCCTGGCCAAGGCCTGTGTCACCACAGAAGGCGCAAGCAAGTTTGTAGCTCCGCCACGGTGCAGACCAGTGCATGCAATTCAGAGTTTCACCTCTGGAGCCTGAACGCACGATTGGTAAAGCCAGCGTGCAGCAGGGAAGTTGTCGATGGGTTTCTGGATCTTGACGAGTTTGCCGTATTCGTGTCATGATCTTGTCTAGCTGGGTCACGTCGGATCGATGCTTCGTCTTAGCCGGTGTCATGGAGAAAGCTCTGACCCGCGCAGCTTGCATCTAAGCATCACATAGTCACACTTAGCCAAGGGCGTTGTCGAACAATTTGTGTCTCACCAGAAGTGCCCATCGCAGCCAGAGGAGCAACAAATTGCAAGCGCCGATATTCGAACTTGCCATCCTGTTTCCGTGGAGTCTGACACTTGGATGTCGTGATTTGCAGCCAACACGGCCTGAGCCCAGTGAACGTAGCTTGCCACCGGCGGATGAGGCGCCACACTGAATTCTAACGATTCTTACGCAAGATTGGAGCATCGGAGATCTGAACCACAAGCGTGAAATCGTGGGACTTCAGCAGTTGGCAAAGGCTAAATCTAAGTCACGGACTGGTAGCTGTTTTAAGAAAGGAACTTAGTTGCCACATAAAGTCTCTTAGTTTGCATCAGCAAGCCTGGATGGCCGGCAGCTAGAAATGCTAGGACGAAATGCGTTGCTCTTCATCGCATTGCAGCCACTTGTCAGCAAATCTGTGATGCAGTACCTTCCTGACACGATCGGCAATGAGGTTTGGCTCTCGATTTGCAAATTCTTTCTTGGTAACCGCGACCTGCCTGCATTTGGCTTGGCAATACCTGCAGCATTTGCTTCAGAATACGATGTCTCCTCAGGCTGCCAGGTATGAGTTGCTCGAGGCATGGCCCCGCTTGTGCGAGTGGACTACGTCGATGTGCAACCTGCGATTCCGATCGGACCTTGCATGATCTGCTGCTTCTGTCAGCTGGAGTGCCTGGCTGTGGTTTGCGTCGCCAGGCGGGTGGCGTCATGCAGTTTGCTGGAGCCCAAGTGGCAACCAGCCTAGCTCGCATGGTTGCCCAGACCTCAGGACGAGCCAAGCACATCTGCGTGTCTTTGCCACGACGAACCGGCACCTTCGCACATGTCAAAAGTTAACTTCGAGGTGTCGCAGATCGCTGGCCTTCTAACGGACAACTTTGCCCTGAAGAAAATGTACGTCGCGACGGAGGCCAGATTTTACAATCTTGCCGATGGAGACTCAGCGAAGCAACGCAGCGAGGTATGCAACTTGGCTCAGCCCTCAGTTTGAGCCTTCAGGGAAAGCATCGCGAACGTAAGCACCGCAGGTCCTGGCTCTAGCGATGCTCGCAAGTGGCCATGCATCTGGTAGCGTGCTCTTCATTCTGAACATAGGCGGCTTCTGACTTGTGGCAGGCGTGTCCGGTGCGACGGAGTAGGCACCGTTCAGGCTTGGGTTTGCTCTACTCCTTCTCACAGCCGGTGACCAAATCCATGCCGCCGGCTGTAACTCCTTCGCGTGAGGACGGGCGGGTTTTCCTGTCTGGCATTGCTTGTCCCGAGCGCAAATCTCATTCCATCTTCTGGCCAGGATCTTGCTGTCATCAATGGGTGGGATCTGACCTGTGACAAGGCCGCCCATGCACTTGATGCACGATCTCTGACAACTTAGGCAGCTGCGAAGTCTAGTTTCGCGCCAGGTGGGCCGATATTTGGCACCGTTTGCCTATGCCATGGCGTCTTCCAGCCATGGGTTTGGCTTTGCAGTGCTGCTCAGCTGCTGCCCAAGCGCTTGAGCAAGCAAACCCCTCCCTGATGACTCGCATGTGCTTGCGAAGCCAAGGTTGCTTCCTGTACGGCGTCTTGGCCGTGCTGCGAACGTGCGTTGTCGTTGCGGGCTCAACAAAGGGTGTCAAGCTGCGCCTGCTGCGTGGTTGGATCTAGGCTTGGCCAGGTGGTTGAGCCCCCGCGAGAACCTTCCAAAATGGGCTCCAAAGCAACTGCCGGGGGCTTGAAAGATCCTGCCAAAGGGGCAGCGAAAGTGACAGGGTTGCAAAGCATGTGGCTCTGAAGGTTCGCGACAAGTTGGGGCGTCTTTTTCAACAGGCCTGTCCGCATGTGCACATGTTCAGCCTTGGTTGACACATGTTGACACCATTCATCCGGGTGCATGCCGTGCACTTCGACGGCAGATCGCAGATGGCGTCATGTCACTGCGGCGGGACTCCGTGTTGCGTCTTCTCATTCTGAACACATTAGCTGCCTCGATGCAAGAAGATGCGATGTGTGCCGCCCTGCATGCCTCTGTTCACGGCTTGCCATCGGAGCTGTTTACTCTCTGAGGTGACAAATGCTCTGCGCTTAGACTTCGACTCGCATGTTCCGAAAACATCCGAAGCTGTGTGTTCCTTGTGAGTGTGAAAGCACGCTTATTCGTGACTCGGCAGGTTTTCCTTTATCCTCTGAATTCTGTACATTTTCCGGTGCTCTTCAAGCGGCAGCACTGGCTGAGCTTGTCTGTTCTGCGAGTGTTCTGGCAGTTCATGTAGCTGTTGCAAGTTGCAGGGTCGCCGAAGTCGGGGGAGAACATTCTGCCTGCGCCACAGCTGGACATGCCTCACGCGACCCACATATCCCAAGTGGCGTAGGAAGCAAGTGCCTCGGACGAAGGTGGTGGATGGCTTGCTGCAGGGAGCCATGAGCTTCCTGAACATCAAGAAGTAATCCTGACATATCTTGTTTTAGGGCAGAGGCTTGTGTAGCACCTGCAACATGGACTCACTTAAGCTGGGTGTCGTGCCTAGCCACCTCTGGCTCATGACTGGCAAAGCCCCGCCAGGAAGGACATGTGGAGAAACTACAGCGCGTTGGTTTCTCTCGGCGGTGTCGCCTGGGTCTTAGTGCATTCTGCCATTCTTGCTTTTGAGGTTATCCCGTCCTGATGCAGGTAGGCCCTTTCCTGTCAAACGCTCTGTCTGCCTCCAAGCTTTGAAAGCGAGAACGAGCAAGGAAGCTGGCAGGAAGGCTAGCAGCGCACCGCCAGGATCTACATGTTGGAGTCCTACTCCGCCAGCCAGAAGTCCTGCAGACTCTGGGTCCGCCCCCCGGCGGCGGAAGCGGCGAGGGATCTTCTGGGAAGCCGACATAGGCCGAGGGGCCGAGCAAGCCCTTGAAGGTCGGCATCAACTTCGGGGTTGCCGGGCAAGTCGCCACGATGGCTCTCCTGGCCCTCATGGTGTCGGGCACCGAGCCGCAGAGAGAGCCATTGGGGCCACAAGCATCTCCAGGCAAGATATATGCGCGCGCATGTCTCAGGTCTTTCAGTGGATCCGTGGGCACTGGTTTGCTGGTTTTCAACCTCGCCGGCTGCCCGATTGATCTTGCACGAGTCTTCTAGACAAAGCGATCAGGATTGCCCGTAATATGATTCGTAATGTGTAGTGCCAAAACTATTCCAGAGCTGCTCTTTTGCGCCTGAGGTGAGTGCGTGGGTTGTCACTATCTCTGTCAACAACATCGTCAACATCCAAGCAGTTGAGTTGCATGCCCCGCAGAAGTCCGCAGAGGGCGTGCCTGCACAAACAACAAGGTCACCACATATTTCAACTCGATCTCGCAAGAGCGGCTGCAGCAAAATGAGCGGGGCCGTTTCATTGCGGGGTGTCCCAGAGGGCAGAGATCCAGCAAAGCGATCTGCCCAGCTCAAGAGAGTGCAGCAGTGCCCAGGCGAACATCATGACAGTTTTCACGCTGGGAAGTTCTCTCGGTACACTCATCTTCGGATGGGCAACGACCTGAGACAAGCCAAAGGTGCCTGAACTCTGTGCCGGAGTCCCATCCGTGCTCATGAGCTGTCTATAAGGTTCTGTCTGCCACAGCGGATGACGTTGCAGGGTCAGCACGGTGCTAAGACCCTGCAGGGCGCAAGACAGGCTTGCCGATGTTTCTGTGTTTTCTGTCCCTATGTGCTCAAAGCGCAGTGACTGATGCCGGATCTGCCCCAGAGGGCGGCTAGAAGATGCGTGAGCAGCGTGACATGACCTGGCCAGCCCGCACCACGGACGGCCGCCACAGGTGAACTTGCTCTTTTGCGGTTTGCTGATAAAGCTGGTCTTGCTGGTGGGCTTCCCGGCTTCGGGGGTTTGTTAAAAATGTTCTGCAGTGCAAACCTCGGTCCCGGTCAGGTGCTCCTGCGGAGGGCAGGACAAGGTTCCTTTTCAGGCTCCGTAGCATGCAATTTGCATTCATTCCTTGAACGTGGTCTTGTCGGGTACATGAGAAGTCTTGCGTGCTCGAAGCCGTCCAGTGCCGAAGCGTTGCAGGGCTCGTGCTTGCTGCAGACATGCTTTGACATGTGCGATGCAGGATCAGCCCGCCCACATGCTGAGTGATGTGACATGAGCAGCCCGAAAGCAGCGGATAAGCCCAAGAGCTGTTTCATCTTTTCCTGAAGCTGCCGTCCGAGGGTTAAGCTGCTTGCTACTACCGTGGAGAACTTCCCAGCAGAGGTTGCGCAACCTCGCAAGTTGTCGGCGCTTGGCATGACATGCAGAGTCCAAGCCAAAGATTCGCCAGACTCGCTTTAACATGCAAAAAGTGGGCCTCCATGCCTTCCTTGTGCCACAGATGCCAATTGACTGTTTCATCTGCTTTGTGAGCAGCAGGTTCTATCTCCACGCTGCCCGCTGGCCCTTGGCCCAAGCTCAAGCAGTATGCCGCCCCAGACGCAACTACGAGTAGGGGCTTCATGCATTGGTAGATCTCATGCAGCGGACAACGTCAGCTGAAAGCGGCACGATACACTGAGGAGGAATGTGCATGCAAGCTCGTGCGACGAACAAGTGACGTTTTGTCAAAACATCCAGCCACTGCCTCAACAGTCTAGGCCGAGCCTAGTCGCTCGCCAGCCACTGTTGTGCGCGTTGTAGACTGGTTACGGTTCCAGTGCCAGCATGGCAGGGAGCTGAGCTTCAAGAACCCCAGCAGTTCCTGGACTCCGACGCCCTGCGCTTGTCACTGGAGGCCACCCCCTCGGCGAACTCGCGCAAGCGAAAGGCCGATGAGGAGCTGAAGAGTCACGTTGCAGACCTTGGGGCTTCGTTGGGTACTTGCCACAGTTCCACCACCCTCCTGATGATGGAGAGACGTTACGGATTGTGGGCTTATTGAGCCTGGCATTGTTGAGCAAGTAGCTTGTACAGTATTGCAGTTTATATCACCAGGAACAAGGACGAGCCAAAAGCCGGAAGCGCCAAACAATTAAGTCTTTAGTCCCACTCCATCTGTTCGTGTTTTGGCATCCGCCCGCGCCTGAACAGCGTGTCGTCCGAAAGAAGATCTGCGACTTGTCAAAACTGAATATTAGATGACTCACGGTTGGGCCGGCTTGAGTCTGAGTGATGGAATGATGTGCGCCAAGCACTTCAGCACCTGCTTCCGGCAAGGAGCCTCCAGAGCTGCAGCGCTGGCCTCAAGCAAGTGTAAGCTGCCTGGGGGTCGGGCCCGGGTGCCTTCTTTGGGGATCGTTGAATTACAGCAAGCCTCCATGTCGAGTGTATATCAATGTCCGTTTTGCTTCGAGACTTCTGGTGATCTATAATAATCTATACATGGCTGCTTTAGACCCGACGCGTCTGGCACCTTAGGACCCGGACGTACACTGCGCAGCGAGTGTTGGGCAAAGGATCCTTCGGCGTGGTGTACCAGGCAAACTTGTGACATGCAGATTAAGAGCAATCTTGTTGAGATGACTCAGAGGAGTTATGCAGAGTCTGATCGTGTTTCTTTGGTAAGGCATATTACAGGCATTATGAGAACTTCGCGGCTTTGTTGTCGTGTCAAACTTAAGTTCTCATTTGCGCAGGTGTCGTTCAAGCTTGGGCTTTGTTCGACTTGCTTCAACATCATCGCCCACTGCAAAATCCCGAACAGCTGTAGTTATGTCGGGCGCGTGTTCGTGGGTGCTCTCTTCAAGCCGCGCATAGTCTGGGCGACCGTAACTCGATGAAGTGTTACTGTAGCGCCGTTGTTCGCTGCCCTGACGCAGGCGCAGGTTCTCGAAACCGGGGAGACGGCCACCCAACAGAAAGAGCTTCCGTGTCGCGTCCCATGGCCAGACCGCACGAGTAAAATGTGCCAGGTAGCCATAAAGTCGATCCGTATGCAGGACAAGGATCGGGAGGCTATCCGTGCACAGGATTTTGTTCTTTCTAAGCATGTTGATCGAGCAGGTCCAGATTCTGAAGGAGCTGGACGGGCACCCGAACATCGTGACTCTGCCGCTTGCCCAAGTCGACTGGGCTGTGCAGAGTAGCTTCCTGCCGCTTTGCTGAGTATGTCTGAATGCAGGCACGGTGCATTCCTCAGCGACGAGGGCACCGCGACTAACGGTGGCACCAGGCACCGCAAAGCCAGCTCCACGCAAACGTTGAGCCGACGAAGACACGACGGAGATGCCTTTGAGCCCGCTTTCATGGCAAAGCACGACATAGACGCAGAACTTGTTCAGGCTCAATCTGGTGCTGGAGTATCTTTCTGATACTCTGCACCGTGCGTGAAGCCGAGCAATCTCACAGACTGGCGTGTCTGCACGGGTTCTGGCCAGAATGCTGGTGTTCGTGCAGGTGATCAAGCACTACAACACGACAAACAGCAAGATGGTCGGTGGCACAGCTGGGTAGGAAGTTGTCCACTTGCAATGCCTCGAAGATGTGGATCTCGGTATTTCTAGCAGATCATGGCACGCTCTACTTGCGCATCATTGATCCAACCTCGCAACTTAAGGGTGAAATGGAGTGGCGCTAGAGACGTATTGGCGTCGCGGTCTGTCCAGCCTAACTAGAGTTTCGCATTTCGTTGGACGACGACCTCCCCGGGGCAGCAGTAAGTTCGACGGCACTCTGATGCGTGTCGCCGTTAGTCTGAGGACGCTTTCTATGTGAAGCTGTACCAGTTTCAGCTCATGCGAGGCAGCTGGCTGAAATCGACGAGTCTTGGAGTTGACAAGCGCCGAGAATAGCTTGGATCCCCTGGTAACATCTGGTAACCAGTTGTCCTAGCTGCGAACAGCAACTTTGCGTCATCAGAATGTGGAATCATTTCGACGGCTGGTTTATCCACGCTTGCTTGGACAACCTTGGCGAAATAAAGACTCTGCTGAGTAATATAGTTCAACGGGAGATGCAACTGCCGCAACCAGCAGTGCCGTGTTTTGGGACCTCACGTGCAGGCCTTGCCTTCGTCCATGGTCGTGGTATCGCACACTGTGACTTGAAGCCGCCAGAAGCCCAACATTTGAAGTCGCAAGGCTCTTCGACGTGACATGTGTCATGCTGCTTCGGCCGGCAGATTTGCACCCGAGGCAGAACCTGCTGCTGGATGGTAAATCGCAGACCCTTAAGATCTGCGATTTCGGCACCGCGAAGCGCATGGTTTTCGGGGAACAGCGCCTGCCTTTCTTCACTCTTGCATCTGCTGGTTGCAAGTTCCCATGTCGGGCCGAGTGCCATGCCAACCTGAATCTAAGGGGACGAGCTTATATGGTCTCTCGGTACTACCGTGCTCCCGAGCTGATTCTGGGAGTGGGGGGCTCCAGGTGGTCTGCAAAGGTAGCAGCCAAGTAAGCATCGCTCATGAGCTGCACTGACTCCTACGACTCCTATAGCCGCCGCAAGCGAGGCCACCCAGTTCAGCACAAGCGTGGACCTTTGGTCTGCAGGATGCGTGCTTAACTCAGATCGATGGAACATTCAGGCGGTTACTCTGTCTGCCTTTTGTCGGCAGTCGTTCAGGTCTTTGCAGAGCTGATCCTGGGTCAACCGCTGTTCACGGGCAAAGATGGTATCGATCAGCTCGTGCCGCTGTCTTGCCAATTTCTCGTGCCAAGTCTGGCCCTGTTGTTTCGATCGCGCGCAAATTCGGTGGAATGCCAGGTGCAAATCGTTAAAGTTCTCGGAACTCCTTCTACGCAACAGTTGCGCTGCCGCCTTGGTGCAAAGTTGGTAGACAGATGTAATAATTCCACGAAGATGTACGAAGATTTGAGGAGTACTATGAGTACTTAACAGCGGCAACTCCTCTATGTTGTGACATGACATGCCAACTATACATGACCACAATCGCGAGAGAAGTAACACAGACTGGTCAGACAAAGCCGAAGCCACTCCACCATTCCTTGCGTCTGGACTGTGAGATGGAACCAGTCCCGATGAGCTCGAAGCAGCAAATCAGGAAGATCACCGAAGCTGACAGCAGTACCAATGCCCACGCAGTAGCCTTCGTTTCTTGTTGGACATGAGTTAACTTCGACTGAGGATCGAGTTTCATTCTCTCAGTGCACGTTGAGTGAGCGGCACTCTTTTTCAGCCCGAAGGCCCGAAAGTTCAGACAGGAACCAAAGCATGGAATCTGTGAGCTGCAGTCTAGAAGCCGACCCTAAGGGCGAGAGCCTAATCAGCCTAATCGTCGAATTTTCTGCACCGCACAGCGCACCAAACGGCAAGGAGAGAAGGTGTCCGAAGAGGGCCTTAGATGAGGAATCGCATGAGACATCGGGGTAGCCCCTTCGTGTGTTGGAAGAAGTGTGCGGCGTTTCTTCGGGAAGTTCTCGAATTTAGCAGCACGCCCCTCAATCGCGAGTATCGATACCATCATCTCCCGACGTTGGCAACACCATGCCATTCGGGCTCAGTCAGTCTGGACTGTCAAAGGCTTTTTACAGAGAGCCACAAAGAACACCCCGCGTGGTCTCAAAAGCACGCTTACACAGTCCCCAAAGCAGTGTGGCTTAACCTCCCAACCTGCTGCCACGTGTTGAGCCGAAGTGAATCGGCCAAGGGAGCTGGTAACCCAAAGCTTCTGCAAGAGCTTCATCCTTTCATATTTCACAGTGAAGGTACAACCTCAGTTTGCTCTTCCTGCATTGTGCCTTTCTCACATGTTCAGACTTAGGTGCGATGAACCCCAACTATCCTGAGTACGAGTTCACGCCTTCGTCATTGCGGCTTTTTGTCGGATGCAGTTTCGTGCTCATGAGCGCCTTCTCGCGAGACACTTGCATTCCTGTGGCCTGCCAGGATCTCTCCGCATTCCTGGGAGAAGGCTGTCGACATCAATGCATATCATGGCGAGAGCTCACGAACCTATACTGAAACTGCAGAGAACTGCGTTGTTTTTTTTGCGTTTCTTGTCACGGTACCGACGTCAACAAACGGAAGCTCTAGGGACTGCAAGCCCGAGCATCCGTATCATTCATGCTGTCAGAAGGCAGGACTACAAGGGGATTCCGAGCATCTCGGGAGCCGGCTCAATACCGGAGTCTCGTATGCAAACCTTCCGAAGATGCAAGCTCATCAGCTACCTTGAAGCGAGTTCCTGCGGCCTGAGACAGATCTGTGACTGTAATACCTTTGAGTTGACACCCGCAGGTCTTGCGCGGTTGGGCCCCAGTGCATGCATGCGATCTGGCGCGATTCTCATTATGCTGGGAGTATCCCGTGTTATCGTGAGGCCATGTTGACTAGTGCTAGCCATGCAAGTGTCAACATGTGACAGGTGAGCCTGATGCTTACGTATGACCCAGTCCAAGCCTTGGCTAGGTTTGATGTTGAGATTTTGATGCATGCCCTGAAGCAAGGCTGCCCGCGCTCCGCTCAACTGGCCTTGTTCGGAAGCAACATCAGCCTGCCTGAATGTGATCTGAATCCAACATTTGATCACCGTACTGCCAGGCCGCTTCATGTCCTGCTACATCCATTCTTTGCCGAGCTACCCTGCGGCAGCACAGTGAAGTAGAATGATGTAAAACGATAGCGGGCATCGCGTCCGTGCTGGGAGTCGTGCTCCGAGGCTGAAGTCAATAGAGAAGAAAGAGTGCTCCAGATGCAAAGGTGCGTCAGGAAGTGTTGGTGAGAATGTTGCCAGCCCTTGCCCAGGCAGTGCAAGATGCTGTTCAACTTCCGCGAGGATGTCTGGGGCGATTCTTACGGTTCCTGACTCGGTGAGCTCTGCATGATCCTGGCAGGACGAGTTGTGGTGGCTCACTTCGGTGGAGAGGCAGCAGCTCATCCCGAGCCTCGCGCTAAGAGGCCACATGGAACTCGGTTCAGCATCAGCAGCCGCACTAAAGCAGCCTCGCAAGTACGTTGCCCCTAAGTTGGACGCTTCAGACGAGGGTAGTGATGGTGGTGGACCAAGGTTGGGCAGCAGCGGAGATGGCGCGGCGTGAGTGAACGTCATGGAAAAGATGCTGCTGTGAAGCTGCGTGCTTTGCGCATTTTGTGCTTGAGAACGGTATCTGTGGAGAGACCTGAATCATCTGCGTGACACGGCATGGTGGACTGTAGCGGAATTTTCGGCATATTTCGGGTTCCAGGTTCTTTTTCCATTGTCTTGTGTGATCGGTGTGGGAGCTTACGAGCTGGGGAAACATCCACTTCGCTTTTTTGAATCTCAAGAGACGTTGTTACCTCAAGAGCCAATTGTCCATGGCACCAGAGGCCGGGCCTTCTGGGCATTCCATGACATTCCAGGCATGAATCACGACTCCTTTCAGGTGGATCATCTCTAGTACTGCGCCTGGCGCAACCACTGCAAGACCCTCGGCCAAGAATCTACGTACGGACACTGTAGTGTTCTTTCCTGATGTTTAAGTTTAGGCCTACTGTTGAGAAGACCAGCAGTGTATTCCGGATCATGCAGTCAAGTTGGGCCACTTTGGGTTCGCAGAGTGTGGAGCATTTCGGACTGGCCCGTGCCAGTATTGGGACCGCTGAGGTTTTGTGTACCTTTGACCATAGACTGGCTTTTGCTACCGGTAGAGTGCTCTGCATAATTACCCGGTATCTCCGATAACTCAAGCTGCGCTGGGCGTGCTATCGCCAAGAGCCTTGGCATCGCCCCATGCTTTGGTTGAGAAAGATGAGTGTTTCAGTCGCTGCACCGCACTGATGCTCATGAGGATCCAGGGTCACCTGAAGACAATGAGCCTATCAAAAATCGATAGCACGCAGCCACCACCCGCCAGTTGCCTTCCAGGATGCCGCCGCCAAAGAAGCAGCCGGAAGCAAGTGTTGTCGGGCCTTCAGCATCAGAGAAGGAGGGGGGGTGTTCCAAAATCCAGCTTTAGTGTAGTTGCGGTCTTAATGATTCGCGACGGTTGAGCTCAGGTGGACCTGCATGCCACCAATGTGCCGCTGAGTGCGCCGATCAATTACCTAGCCCCAAGGCCGAATGTGCTTGAATCAGTCTTGCGACAACTATACTCTACAGCTCTCCTGCTCACGTGCCACCGGTTTCGGATCGTTGATTGATTTTCTCGCTCGAACACCAGCATCCCAAAGTCGCAGGCGTGAAAAGGTGCAGGCAGGTCGAAACACCGTGGCAGAACCGCATCAACTAAGATCCTTGCCTCCGCTTGTTTGAGGCTCGCACATCAGGGGATCCCACGATTCAATTTCGGGGAAGCACCTTCGGAGGTGGACCCCTCTAGCAACCCTGATTCAACGATGCGAGACTTATCGAAGCTGGCTTTGCAACCGAACGGAGCGTCTGGCATGAACGCCTAATGATGAGGGCGCAGAGGAGGGAGGAAGGCCCGACGCCGTAGTACTGCATGTTCACTCGTGAGTTTGCAGGACGATTTGCTATGCTGCCGCCAACAGTGCTTCGTACCTACAGGGCTGTCCGTTTGCACTCACAACTTGGGCGGGAAGCCGGGATCGAACCCAGCTTGAGGTGCATCTATGGAACTTGGATTCCAACTCGAGGTGCTCCCAACTCTGCGAGACACTGCGAGAGATGTCTGCCCTCCTGCAGAAGGTCATCCTTCCCGACGACAGCCTATGCGGTGACAAAGCTGTGCACGAACGTCGAGCGAGGGTTGGTGCGCCTGGCACTGTCTGAAAGAGGGCCATGCGGCCATGGACATAAAAGCAAGAGCACACGCTGAGATGCCAGGTGGCCTACAGCGAAGGTGGCTCTCAGCCTCAGGCTGGTAATGTGAGAAAGGGCAGGTCTATGGAGCAAAACCCCATGAACGTTGCCGGCCGCAGAAATGCAGGTTTACGTGTACTCCTGCTCGCCGCAGAAATTATTGCGTGATCCCCACCTTGGCAAGTGTGGTTTCGAGGGATGCAAGCAGAAGCCCTGCTGTAAGGTTTACAATAACAGACCTGACAGAGCTCGAACTGGCTGACATGGCGTTCAGTCGCTGTGGTTCGCGCTTGTATGCCTTGTCGAGGCAGGGCGAGTTGCACCCTGCAGCCACACAAAGCTAGCATGAGACCACTCTAATATGCTTGCTTTCACCAGACCCGCGTTGCAGAGTGTCAGCCGGATCATGTGGACTCGCTGAACAGTCCAGCTGCCTAGCTGCCCAGCTTGGCTTGGCAGGGCGACCTCCAAGAAATTGCACATATACTCTATGTTGACTGGGCTGCCGCTGCAAGGCCAGCGCCGCAGGTCTGTGTTCCAACAGCAAAAGGCTGCCGAGTCTCTGCTTGAGGCTGTGAGCTGCAGCTGCCGCTCCGCTTTGACAAAATTTCTGTTTATCCAGGCCACAAGGACTGAAAGCGAGCACTGAACACCCCTTCCTGGCCGGTCAGACCATGTTTGCACCCGCATCCAACTTCCAGGACCATGTGGCGTTGATTCGCAGCTCTGCTGTGCGAATAGTGTCCATCACAAAGTCGTTTGAGACGTACATCGCAAAGCTGCAGTCCGGGCCCAGACTCAAGCCGGATTTGTGCTGACACTGGATGCTGTTCGGACAAGGCCACCGTCAATCCCGGTGGACACGGACTTGGCCGTCTCAGCATATTGCTGGACCAGCGCCGGGTCAGATCCTCAGAGCTGCTCAAAACATCTGGCGACGGCTATGAGCTGCATATTGTATAATTGATCGAAGCCATGGCAGGCATTTCCTCGTGGCTACACGCCAGGGACTGCATGGGCCCGAAGTGCCTGTATCGCTTGGAGTTTGGTGATCAGGATCGAAAACGGCACCGAGGCTTTGCACGCTCGACGGGGCCACTGGTGCTTTGCTGTAACATGGCTATATTCTGCA